GCAGTTCGACGACAATAGGAACAACACACAAGTCTGGACCGCCGGACAAGCCGTGCCTGTGAAAGTATGGATCAGAATCCCGCACGAGGGAAGCGCGAATGTGAGTATCGTGGATACGAAGAGTAATGAGATCGTCGGGAGTATGTTGAAGGTTTGGGATAAGGGGTATGCGCCGGGCAAGACGGAGGCGGATGTGCCGCTGGATCAGAGGGAGTTCAGTGTCACGGTGCCTGAGGGTTTGGAGGAGAAGTGTGCGGTTGCGGGGGATTGTGTAAGTTTTTTTGCTTGTTAAGATGGGACGATGATGGAGCTAATGATGAACAGGTCCTGCAGTGGTGGTGGTATGGAACGGCTGCGAAGCAGACGTATGAGTCTTGTGTGGACTTTAGGATTGTGAAGAAGGGAGTGCTAGGGCGGAGGTATCCAATGAAGAGATCGTTCCGCGCCTAGAGCGTGTGCTTTGGAGTTGTGTGGTAGTGTGGACGAGGCTACTGCGGGCTACATTCTGTAGGGCTCTTGGAATGTGTATAACGTTGATGTCGTACGACTTTTGGCATAGGTTTCGACCTTTCTTCGCCATGTTTGCCCTTGTTTTGCAGACAGGATGGACGGGTCTCTTCCGCAAGGCGATGAGAATGCTGGTAACGGAGGCGTAGATGGTTAGACGAATGCACATGACATGTGAGGAGCACGCAATGGCGAAATTTGACTGTTGTATCTTTGCGGGGTATATTTACGAGGATAGGAAACGAATGTGGCGTTGTCGCAAAGACCAGCGCGTCGATCAGACGCAGAGACAGTCGGTAACAGAAAACCAGCAGCAAATGTGCCAATGTAAGCAACGCTCCCGTGTGCTCATTACCATCAATCATGCCTCTTGTGTCTGTACACAACACTCGTGAGTATGGTGCCAAAGATGAACACGCACACAAAGCCCACCATAAAGGTCGTGGCTACCATGTTACAGCAGTGCTTCTCATTCTCCCGACGCTGTCTGGCCGCCATTTGTACGTCGCATTGTTCACAATGTACGTGTGGCTTGGGGTTGAACACCCCGGCAATGGTCTGCGCAAGCGACTCTTGTGGTGCGTTCGCTGATATGGGCGCAGGGCTGGCCGACGTGTGATTGTGTTCGTGGGTGTGCGCGTGAAGTTCGACATCGTCGTCTTGTGAGACCGCAGCGTACTAGGTCTTGTATCAGCGCACTGTGCTTCACAATTTGCTGGAATTTGTCGCAATGGTGACATACCGACGAAGTCGAACCAGACGGTGTGTATTGGTTCACTGGATGGTCGCCAAAGACGGCATCGTAGGCTGGCGCTGCGTCTTGTGGGATTGTGGGACGTCCCATTTTCAACTGGTGCTTTGCGATAAGTGTAGGTGTTAGTGTAAGGATCACAATGAGATATGTTAGAACCCCAAGAGCCTGATTCCGGTGAACAGCTACGACAGCCCACTGCCTCGTTTCCGCCTGATCATGATACGGCGAGGCAGCTGGGGCTGTGCTGTCGCGTCACCCGTCAGCAGCCACACTTTCTGTATGGTCAGTTATTGCGCTACTCCATTTGCAAGGAAACAATTGGCCAAGGATTGTGCGAAGTCCTTGCATTCGTCGCTTGATGGTGGTGTGCAATGAGAAGGGGGGTCCGAGTTCTTCATGCTCCCGTTATGGCTGGTACTTGTGGGATCGATGGCACAAACCAGGTGTTCCGCAGGTGGCTGGCATCAACCGTAATGTCCTTGATTGTAGTGTAGACACTACCAAAGATTGTGTTCTTGACAAAGCTTATCTCGTGGAAAGAACCTTGGAAGATGGCTGTGGGATCGAGGAGTGCTTCGAAAGCTTCGACGATGCCGTGTCGCGACGATCTCGGGAACGCCCCCGCGAGGCTTGCCGTTGCATGTCTGCCACCCGCATTTGTGGCGTCATGACTTCAACAACACCATCGCAACATCTACAAAATGCTGTCAGAATGAATTGTAATCCCTCCGAAACATGGTGCGATCGCGATAACGACGCATTAGATGCCCTCCGCAATAAAGGCCCGGTTCTAAGGTTTGCACAGTATCCTAATGTTTCAACTTCCGGGAAATCGCGTGGTCGCTGGACTAGGCACAGCCTCTATCTCTGAACAAGTAGTGTGCACCACGGTGCCGTGTTATCCACTGCCCTGTCGCGTGCCGAACGCAAGCTGGCCACCGACAAACGTTCGTATTCGCCATGGCGCCGGCGTGTCTATCTGCGCGCGACCAAGCAACGACAAGCACTTACTCCGAGGCTTAATCAATCTTGACCCTAGTCGGCACAAATGAGCTAAAACACTGCGTCGAATTATGACGGCGCGGTACGACGGTTGGCAAGGCCTACCTCGTGGATACTGCGGGATGAGCATCGTTATCCAAGACCGTTCGGGAAGGTGCTTCACCAGTGACTTCGTTCCTGCGTGCGTCATATCCCTGCCCTGCCCTATCAACGACTAGCCATGACCGATACCATGGGCGACATGCTTCCAAAATATTGTGTACGCGAGGCTTACCACCGAGACTTCTGACTTTGCCTCAACCTCCTTCTGTTCCGGGTTAGGTGCTACATATTCTCAGGGTCCGAGTGCGTGCAATGCCGTCATTGTCCAAACATTCAAATACCGCCATGGAGCCGGACTTTTGCTGTAGGGATCTTTCAAACAATCCAATTCCTTCAGGATGAAGTTTCTTTCGACTTTTGGCGCATTGCTATGCGCGACCACAGCCATTGCTGGCAATTCGCCCATGAAGCGTAATGTCTTCAACAAGGCAAAGCCGGTTCTTGAGCGTCGCGTGGCCAACGAGCCCTTCAGGCATCCCGAGATCCAGAAGCGAGCCACGAGCTTCTTTGCGACGAACAAGACCGAGCCGTTCTCCGTGAATGGAACCGGCATTCCAGAGGTCGACTTCGACATTGGAGAGTCATACGCCGGCTTGCTGCCAATCTCAGACGACCCAGCAGAGACTCGCAAGCTCTTCTTCTGGTTCTTCCCTTCAACTCAGGCTGAGACACAAGAGGAAATCGTCATCTGGCTCAATGGTGGACCAGGTTGCTCCTCGTTGTCAGGCTTACTTACCGAGAACGGCCCGTTCACATGGGAGGCTGGAACACTGGCCCCGGTTCAGAATCCTTACAGCTGGACCAATTGTAAGTTTTGACAAAACGGAGACGCTTCACGGATACTAACATCCGATCAGTAACCAACATGCTTTGGGTCGAGCAGCCAGTTGGCGTCGGTTATTCTCAAGGAGTACCAAACATCACCAACGAGGTCGAGCTCGGCAACGAGTTCCGCGGCTTCTATAAGAGCTTCGTCGATCTTTTCGGCACCTACAACTGGAAGACGTACATCACTGGCGAATCATACGCCGGTTTCTACGTTCCCTACATTGCAGACAGCTTCATCAACGCCAACGATGACAAGTACTTCAACCTTGCTGGTATCTCTATCAATGACCCCATCATTGGTGACGAGACCGTTCAGCAGCAGGTCGTCATCCTCCCCTACGTTGAGTACTGGCAGAACTTGCTGTACCTGAATGAGTCGTTCATGGAGACCATCCGCGCCCATGACAAGGATTGCGGCTACACCGATTACTACAACAAGTACTTCACATTCCCAGCGCCCCAGGGCCCGATCCCGGCTCTGCCCGACCCATTCAATTCGGACAACTACACCTGCGATCAGTTCGACAACTTCTATTCTGCCATCTTGCAGGTCAACCCCTGCTTCAACATCTACCACATCACCGAGACCTGCCCGCATCCATTCTCTCAGCTCGGCATAGTTAACACAGGCGACTACCAACCTCCTGGTGCCCAGGTCTACTTTAACCGCACCGACGTCCAAAAGGCGCTCCACGCTGTTGTCGGCACCAACTGGGAACAGTGCACCGACGTCAACGTCTTCGGCAACGGTACCCGCCGTGGCTCCGATCAATCAATCGGTCCTGCCAACGACGGTGTCCTTCAGCACGTCATTGAGACCACCAACAACACCATCATCGGAAGCGGTGACTTGGACATGTTGCTCAGCACCAACGGCACCCTGATGGCCATTCAGAACATGACCTGGAACGGCAAGCAAGGTCTTGACGAGTACCCATCGACTCTGCTCTACGCACCTGACCACCCCGAGTACAACGGTGGTGCGCTTGCTGGCGCCGGTTACCAGGGTGTGTGGACCAAGGAGCGTGGTCTGACTTTCTACACTGCTCATCTTGCTGGTCACGAACTTCCTGGATACACCCCAGGTGTCGCGTACCGTATGTTGGAGATTCTTCTTGGTCGCGTCGAGGATTTCAGCAGCACTGAGAGCTTCACTACGCAGACTGGAAACTACACTGGCAATGGTACCATCTACAAGCGTGGTGTGATGGAGATGGGAAATTTGTTGTAAATTATAATGGGAAACGTGCTATGTATGAGTAGCGTGTAAACAATAATGCATGACAATGAGGACAAATGTCTATACTACACTTGAGTCTGCCAACACTGGTTACAACATGTGTCATTGCACCTCCTCAGCATACGAGAGAATGCTTCAGAGGTTTTTACTGTTGATAAGGATATATGGTGCGCATGAAGAATGATTAGGCTTACGTGCAATTTCTAGCGAACTTGTCAATTAAAGGTATTGTGGTGTTGAAGAGATAGGCGAGGTGTGAGCGAGATGTTCAAGCACCATGGTGCACTATATCCACCATTGTACGCACCATCTCTTTAGTCTCCCAAGTTCGTTGTTGCATGATCGTGTCCGTCTTCAAGTCGCGTTTGCCACGGACCAAAGTTGACTCACCGCCGCAAGGACCCACTGCAAATTTTCGTGCAGCTACCAACCCACATATTCGATAACAAGTCAAGCGGTACGCATCTAGCCCACTCTGGATCTTGTCGTCGTTCTTGATCTCACGCGATGAGCTGTGCGTGGTGAATATATTGTTTTTGATCCTAAAGTCCTTCATCAAACCACAAATCTCGAATAGTATAGTGGTCAGTATTTCGGCTTGTCAAGGACACCAGTCCAAACAGCGCCGGAGGCCGGGGTTCGATTCCCCGTTCGAGAGTTCCTGCACGCTTCTTTTTTGCTATTCTATCGCTTGCATGGTGGTGGTTGTTGTCGTGGTGGCAGAGCGCAGGTCGTGCGGCGTATGTGAGATGAATGATCGACAACGAGCATCACGACCATTCGATTTTTTGGGACTCGACAATGTAATTTCTGATCGCAATTCGGACCTCTGGACTGCTTTTCAGTCTAATCTGACCATAAAGGCGGTGGTGTTGCAGTGTTGATGATGGAGGGCGCCCGAGTGCCCTTTGACCCGAGGTTCCCCACGCGACCCCGCCAGCCGCTACGGCAGCACCCCGGATAAATGGCCCCGAAACCAGGTCATCAAACGTTTTGATGATCTTGGGAGTATCGTCTTTGCAACTCTGTGATACACTGATATGATTGCCTGGATTGCTTCGGTCGACATATGACGATGCGAACGTCGATGTCACGTTGCTTTTCGTAGAATGACAGCGAGCGCGTCCGCGTCTGACAAAAGAAACCCCCCATCCTCCCTTCATGTACCGCGGGACAACAATTGCGAGCTTCACAACTGCCGAACGTCACGTTGAGGGCACGTTGATCAACTAGCTCAAGATGTGTAAGTTCTTGTCTTGATCTTAAAGCTTTCGGGGCCACGATTAATGAACAATGAGTCCTTTCTGAGATCACTCAATTAACATGGCTCTAGAGACTCTCCTCCAGCTACCAGCTTACGTCTGGCTCTCCCTTCTCCTCGCCATACCCATCGCCACGCTCCTTCACGATGTTTGGCTATGGCTCCGAATGCCACCAGGCCCCACGCCGCTACCATTCGTTGGCAATAAACATCAGCTTCCAAAGTCGAAGCCTTGGATCCAATTCCAAGAATGGTCGAAGATATACGGGCCAATCTATACGATTTGGATCGGACGGAAGCCCACTGTCATCATATCAGACCCGAACATCGCCGTCGACTTGATGGAGAAGCGCAGCACGAAGTACTCTTCCAGACCCCGTATGGTGGCCATGGGTGAGATACTTTGGGACGGCGCGAGCATTCTGGTACAACCATACGGCAAGGAATGGAGCATACGGAGGAAGCTCTTGCATCAGGCTCTGACGCCAAAGGCATTGCGACTGTACAAGCCTGTGCAGACGGCTGAGGCGTCGCGCTTGTGCTACCAACTCCTCGAGAATCCGGCAAATTGGGAGAAGCTGCTAGAGCGCTTCACCTCAAGCATTGTGTTCTCGGTCGCGTATGGCCATCGTATCGACTCATTGGACGCGGATGTTATACACCAGCGCTTCAAGTTCATGCACATTTCGGCTTCGCTGAATGTACCTGGAAAATACATGGTCGAATCCTTTCCAATTCTGAAGCACGTTCCCGATGTCCTTGCACCTTGGAAAGCTGAGATCAAAGCCAAGGGCAGAGAAGAGGCGGCTGCCAACATGGCGCTTGTCGACGTGGTTCGCAATGACATGGCACGAGCGAAAACTCGAGGCGACGATATCCCTGATTCGCTGTGCAAGCTTCTTTTGGAAATGAAGGAGACGGAACACATACCGCTTTCGGACCGCGACTTCTCGTACATACCTGCTTCGCTCTTTGGTGCAGGATCAGACACGACCGCGTCAACACTGTGTACAGCATTCCTGGCGCTGGTCACGCATCCAGGGACGCTCAAGGCCGCTCATCAAGAGCTAGACGCCATCATCGGACCTTCGCGTTCGCCAGTATTCGACGATGAGAAAGACTTGCCATACATTCGCGCACTCGTGAAGGAAGTGCTTCGCTGGCGTCCCGTCGCCGTTCTAGGAGGAACACCACATGCCTCGACTGAAGACGACCGCTACGAGGGCTATCACATTCCAGCTGGTACAACAGTCCTTGGCAACTCCTGGGCCATCAATCTGAACGAAGAGTACTACCCAAATCCACATCACTTTGATCCCACCCGTTTCCTCGACACAGCACTAGCCGAGAAAGCAAAAACACCAACCGCATTAACAGGCAGAGCTCATCCAGCCAAAGGCGGACATTCTTCGTTTGGCTGGGGACGACGAATTTGTCCTGGGGCTGGTCTCGCTGAGAATAGTTTGTTCATTGCGCTTGCCAAGATTCTGTGGGCGTTGGATATTTCGCCGGTTAAAGGCGTGAGGTATGATACATTTGCATATACTGAGGGCTTCAACATCCGGCCGCAGAAGTTTGTGTGTGAGATTCGCGTCAGGAGCGAGGCGCATCAACGTGTTCTGGAGGCTGATTTGAAGGATGCTGAGAGCGTGCTTGAGAGGTTTACTCCGTTTGGGGAGTAGTCTGTACCGAGACCGAAGTGGTTGAGCTGCTGTCAGCATGTACGCACCGCAAATCTCGTTCGCAGCAATTATTCCTAGGCCGTATGTAATACGGGTGGTTTCCATGCAGCTTTGTGTCGTATGCCTTTCTAATGTGCAAACTTCAGCTCGACCGCCGCTACGATGAGTTTTCTTGCGCAGTGAGATAGTGCTTACAAGGCTGTCACGCCTGATCAGGAAGTTCAAATGAAGTCCACGGGAATTGGTTGGTTGGTCGGTCGCTGACGATCCTGATTCGTGAACACTCCTCGCGACCAAGAACTCCTTCAGGTGCGTGTGCTGTGTCGGCCTCGCTCTAGATACTGCAACCATCAATCAACCGTCTGACATGCATGATCGTGAGGCTAGTGCTGGTACTTAAGCTTACCTACATCAGCATATCGAACAACTTCACATTTGAAGACCCCGCGAGCACTTCCTACTAATACCTTCGGGTCATACCAACCTGCTGAACTCGTCACTAGTAGCTCAGTGCATCTTCATCGGACCAGATCTCACCGAACGCCCAGGACATTGAATCGAAACTTGTGTCGGAAAACATCGACTGTCAGGAACACGGGCGTTTTCCATCAGCCGTAAGTGTTTCACCGCACCACAACATATCGTCGAAGTTGAATCGCTTGCTACCATCATCATGTCTGCAAACACCAACACCAACACCCCAAACCCCAATAACCCGTCCTCGCTGAAACCTCGCTACGAAATTCGAAAGCTCGAACCCGAGCACGTCCAGTGGGCGACAGCCATCGTCGGCCACAGCAATGGCTACCATTCTCCAGTTTGGCCGGTGATCTTTCTGGACGACATGACCACACGCGTCCTCGACTTGCTTGATGCAGGAGATTATCTCGTCCGACACCAAATCAACAGCGGCATGTCCTTTGGCGTCTTCGACACACAATACGAGTTCAAGACCGAAGAAGCGAAGAAAGTCGGCGGCAAGCTGTTCTGGGACCGCAATGAGCCGAGCATTCAGGAAAAAGAGGGTTTGGAGGCAGAGGGAGAAAGGATGCTGAAGCAAATGGATTTTCCGCTCGTCAGCGTCGCGCTGGCCTACGATGCCAACAATCCGTTGGACATGGAGAAGATGGGACCGCTGATGAATGTCCTGCCGCTGTTTGGTGCATTTTATCACGTTGTCGCGGAACTTGACCAGCGCGATCCGGCTTCATGGCAACCCACTGGGCCTGGTCAGGTCTTATTCCGTAATGCGACATCTACACGACGCGACTACGAAGGTAAAGGTATCATGGCTGGGCTGGCGAGATGGCTCATGCGTGAAGCGGCTCAGAGAGGCTACCGGGGTATCCAGATTGAATGTTTGGCAGATCCTGTGACGCATGTTTGGAGTAAGGGAGCTGAGCAGGATGGGAAATTCAAGGGTACTGTTGTGAGCGAAGTCGACATGGGGACATATAAGGATGAAGAGGGGAAGTTAGTATTTGCACCAAGCAAGCAACGAGGTACAAAGTGCTGGGTCGATCTGAACGCGGGGTTCTAGGTGGCGAAAGTAGTTGTTCATGCATCGTATAGACACGTAACCTGCTGTAATGTGCCTGCCCTGCTAGAACCCTTGATCTTAAAACTTGTTCTACTGAAGTTCGGAGAGAAAGGACGATATGCGTGCAATCTCGTATGTTGAAACGAGCACACTGCGGTGCGATATTGACTCGGTGTCGCCAAGTATGCTGCCATACAATCGAGCGAAAAGTAATCGTGCCTGAGGATTGCGAAGCTGTGGAGCCAAGCATATGTTGGATGACGCTCAGTCAGACGGGCCGTTCTTTCGCCGAAGGCTAGCGTGACGTAAAAAAGGTCTCCTGCTCCAGCCGAACCACCAACCACCAACCTTCAGTCTCCACTGTGCCCACTTCTCAAGTATCAGACAAATCACGCATCGCCTACCGTAGCATCGGCGGCATGGCTGCGGCCATTTGTACGATTCCGCAGTCCCTGAACCGGGCGGAAGCTGACGGCTCGGCGACTATTTATAGCCGGAAAAATCTACGCCATCCTTGCGTCGAGGATTTTGGTGCGATGATGCTCACGAGCACTGCCTCTGTACGAGGAATGGTAGAGAGGCGATTGCTCTTAGATGTATTGGCGGAGCCTCAACGACATCGTCTGTGCTTAATCAGGCATTTGACTATCCCTGTTACGCTCGTGGCACAGCAGGCAAGTATGGCAAAAGGTGGGCAGATGTCGTAAGCTTTAACTAATACTGGGGATCCAAGACGATAATGGTGACCTATCATTCTATTTCTGCTGTGGCCGTACCTCTGAAGCTCTTTCTCGTCCCTCAGCTATTGCTAGCCTCACATTCGTTTATACATACCAACCAACTATAATATCTACCACATTGTCGTCGTCATCACGTAGAAGCAGGAAATCAAATTTTGTGACATCGAAATGGCGCACAACAGTGAACATGAAGAGCACTATCGTGGACACCAGCTGCAGGATCTGCCCGCGACCGCACATGTGTGTATTCGCACATTCGTCGAGAGCATTCATTAACGAATATACCAGTCGCAGTACCCGCCACTACCAGAAGAAGATGCTGCCGATCAGCGGTTGATGGGCGACCACGAGCCGTCATACTACAATACCTACGACACTGTCTCACCGGCATCGGACTACAACCGACCTCCATCATCCGTATACACCCTCACCGAA